CGAGAGGTCCTGGGTTCAAATCCCGGATGAGCCCAGCTTTCATTATGGTTCAAGAACTAAATTTTCCAGCCTTGTTGCATCTGTAGTTTTGTTTACACTTTGGACACCAAATAAAACCAAGGTTCAAAGGCTCGTTGGTCTAGGGGTATGATTCTTGCTAAGGGTGCAAGAGGTCCCGGGTTCAAATCCCGCACGAGCCCAGCTTTCATTATGGTTCAACACCTATATTTTCCATGTGTTTTGCATCTGTAGTTTTGTTTCCATTTGGCACACCAAATAAAACCCACATTCCATGGCTTGTTGGTCTAGGGGTATGATTCTCGCTTAGGGTGCGAGAGGTCCCGGGTTCAAATCCCGGACGAGCCCAGCTTTCATTATGGTTCAACACCTATATTTTCCATGTGTTTTGCATCTGTAGTTTTGTTTCCATTTGGCACACCAAATAAAACCTACATTCCATGGCTCGTTGGTCTAGGGGTATGATTCTCGCTTAGGGTGCGAGAGGTCCCGGGTTCAAATCCCGGACGAGCCCAGCTTTAATAATGATTCAATACCTATAATTTCCATATGTTTTGCATCTGTAGTTTTGTTTCCATTTGGCACACCAAATAAACCCCACATTCCATGGCTTGTTGGTCTAGGGGTGTGATTTTCGCTTAGGGTGCGAGAGGGCCCGGGTTCAAATCCTGGACGAACACAGCTTTAATTATGGTTCAACACCTAAATTTTCCAACCTTGTTGCATCTCTAGTTTTGTTTCCACTTGCACACCAAAAGAAAATCGTTGTTCCATAGCTCGTTGGTCTAGGGGTATGATTTTTGCTTCGGGTGCGAAAGGTCTCAAGTTCAAATCCCGGACGAGCCCAGCTTTCATTATGGTTCAACACCTAAATTTTCCACCCTTGTTGCCTCTTTAGTTTTGTTTTCACTTTGCACACCAAATAAAACCGACATTAAATGGCTCGTTGGTCTAGGGGTATGATTCTCGCTTTGGGTGTGAGAGGTCCCTGGTTCAAATCCCGGACGAGCCCAGCTTTCATAATGGTTCAACAACTAAATTTTCCAACATTGTTGCATCTGTAGTTTTTTTTTCCATTTGGCACACCAAATAAAACCCAGACACCATGGCTCGTTTGTCAAGGGTTATGGCTTCTTGCTTCGGGTGCGAGAGGTCTCGGGTTCAAATCACGGACGAGCCCAGCTTTAACTATGGTTAAATTTTCCACACCTGTTACATCTGTAGTTTTGGTTCCACATTGCACACCAAACAAAACCCAAGCACCATGGCAAGTAGTATGATTCTTGCTTTGGGTGCGAGAGGTCCCGGGTTCAAATTCTGGAAGTACCCAGCTTTAATTATGGTTCAACACCAAAATTTTCCACCCTTGTTGCATCTGTAGTTTTCTTTCCACTTTGCACACCAAATAAAACCAATTTCCATGGCTAGTTGGTCTAGGGGTATGATTCTCGCTTAGGGTGCGAGAGGTCCCGGGTTCAAATCCCAGACGAGCCCAGCTTTCATTATGGTTCAACACCTATATTTTCCATGTGTTTTGCATCTGTAGTTTTGTTTCCATCTGGCACACCAAATAAAACCCACATTCCATGGCTCGTTGGTCTAGGGGTATGATTCTCACTTAGGGTGCAAGAGGTTCCGGGTTCAAATCCCGGACGAGCCCAGCTTTCATTATGGTTCAACACCTATATTTTCCATGTGTTTTGCATCTGTAGTTTTGTTTCCATTTGGCACACCAAATAAAACTCACATTCCATGACTCGTTGGTTTAGGGGTATGATTCTTGCTTTGGGTGCGAGAGGTCCTGGGTTCAAATCCCGGATGAGCTCAGCTTTCATTATGGTTCAACAACTAAATTTTCCAGCCTTGTTGCATCTGTAGTTTTGTTTACACTTTGTACACCAAATAAAACCAAGGTTCAA